TTGATAACTGTATAATGCTTTGATGTCTTAAACTAATAGATGTGTTTGGATATCATAACGGATTATCTTCCTGCATGTCCAATGCCAATCCTACCTTTTGAGATTACATTTTGTACGCATGACCTTACAGTATTCTTGTATGCAGAGAAACTGCCCAGCAATTGCATCTACAAGCGAAAATCAACTTTCGTCAGTGCACGTCAGTGAAGCACGTTAGAAATTTTGGCTTCTCACTTCTATTTAGATAAGTTCATAAACACATATTATTCTGTTCCTTACATTCCAAAAAAAGCCATGGGCCTCTTAGAGGGAGGTGGTGCAAACAGAAATACCAGTATTCTGGAAATGTAGTTCTACAAATAGAAAGAGTGAACATTAAAAGCCAGTTTCTACTCCATGATACTGGCTCCTGGTCCTGCGGGAGGAACCCATGTCAGTCTGTCAGACCCGGGAGCTGTGAAGGGAAGCTTAACCCATCCTTATACCCAACGTTCTGAAGAATCCTGAAAAGACACGGACTGGACAGACAGACAAGCAGCAGCAAAATTAGAAAGCACATTCCAGAAATAAAAGAACTGCTTTTGATGGACCATTTGTGCTTATTCTTACAGGTACAATGATCCTGTAAAATGCAAGCCATGTATTTATAATTGTGAGACACGTTGCCATGAGTTTTGGATTTTTCCAAGCTGTCAAGTCTTTTCCAACCTTCAAAGTAGTTTTTAGGCCCCCGGGTGGTTTTAGAATCTGAGACAAAGTTATACTTATCCCATGTTTGTTTTTCTGTATTCTGTTTAGCCTGGAGAAGAGAAAGCTTAAAGGGATCTTATCAATATATAGAAATGTCTGATGAGAGGGAGTAAAGAACAGGGAGCCAGGCTCTTCCCAGTGGTACCCACTGACAGGACAAGAGGCAGTGGGCACAAACTGAAACACATGAAACACCACTTACAAATAAGAAAACATGTTTTTACTACTGAGCACTGGCACAGATAGCCCAGAGAGGTTGTGGAGTCTCCATCCTTGGAGATTTTCAAAACCAAACTGGACACAGCCCTGAGTAACCTGCTGCAGTGGACCTTATTTGGACTGGCCAACTCCAGAGGTGCCATCCAGCCTCAGCGATTCTGTAACTATAGCCCAGGATCCATATCAAGGGAGCTGCTTGGTGATGCTTAGCAGGTCTGTGAAGAGACCCGGAGAAAAGTTTGGGGTAAAGGGAGGAGTACATGCAAAAGGATAGCGAGGGATTGGCCAGAAGGACTCATGCTGGCTAGATACCTGAGCAACAGAAGTGAACAACAGATGTCAACAAGAAGGAGAAAGGAGGTGGGAAATTGGCCAGTCCAGAACAAAATTTGCTTTACGAACCCAACTGTCTACCTCGTGACCTAAAGAATTGGAAAGGCCCATTTAAGCTGCTGAGCCACACCTCCTCCTCCCTCCTCCTCCCCTTCCTCCTCCATCTCTGCTCTGGCTGCTGCAATTGCCCTTGAGGACGTTGGAGCCAATCTTCCTTTCCAATCCCTGTTTGTGTAGACATAGAAATACACAAAATATAAGGAATGAATACTCAAGAGTCTCTCTATGCCTCACTCACTGTGTATTTTAACATTCAGATTTCTAATTCAGACTTTAACCTTTTCTAAAAAAGTAAACAAAAACTCCCTCTCAAAAAACAGAGCACCAAACTTTCTTGCTGTAGCAAAGCAATCCAGTGATTAGAGCAAAGACTCAGTTCACAAATGGACTAAACAGAAAAAAGGCTAAATTTGCAAGTGTTGATAGTTGCAATGAGTAATTCATAACAAGTCTAAATGGCATCATAAGTCTGAGATCATAAAACTTTCCAGGAGGGACAGATTACTCAGCATTATTTCTATGCTGGCAGCAAGTGGTTATCTCAGAAATCATCAACGCAGAAAAAGGTTGAGTGCATTGCAAAGCCAGACCTCCCCCAAATAACACAGAACTCGTTTTTGAACTTCACACTTGGAAAATTTCCCTTTGGTGTACACTAGATGTCAGGGTTGGACTGAGAGGATGAGCCCATCCACTCCATTACACCGCTCTGCGCATCAGGCTGGATGCCATCAGCACAACTAGTTTTGCTTAGGAATTATTTTTGTGAAGCACACGATATTTACAAGGAGCAGTCTGCACAAACATCCTCTCTCCCCCACTTTGCAGTATTTCATTTAGGCCAAAAGCCCAAGGATTTGGAAGAGGGAATAGACATCCTGAGATCTCTTTCCAATACCAATGAGTATCTGCTAGCATTCTTCACCTTCCCTAGCTCCAGGAAAAATAAAAAATAAAACCCTCTAAACCACTTGGGTGAACAGACACTTTCTAGAGGGGACTCTAATAGACAGCAACTTGGCACAGCACCGACTTGGCTGGAGAAAAGTCAGAGCAAAGAGGAATGTGGTCAGAACTACATTAAATTTGTAGGAGCCATATACGCTCCCCATGACACCTCAGGTAGGTCATTTCATTTCCCTGTGCCTTGACTACACAGCAGCAAATTCAAGATGGCAACTTATCTCTGCTTCATGGAAAAGGAGAGAGTGTGGACCAGGAGAGCAAAGACAAAAATCACTCCCTTTGTGAGATGCTAGTGACACAAAACCAATAACCCCAATAAACTGTCGGTAATAATGAAAGGCAAAAAAAAGAGGTTCCTCTTTTAACTTCTGCAAGTGACCCAGTGCTGTCCACTTGGCCAGAGAACAGTCAGGTGGGACTCTGCTACGTAAAGTGTTAACCAAAGGTGTCCTAAAGGGAAAAAAATGACACAGACAGAAAATGTGTTTGGAAGGATAGTATAATTTTGCATTTCTATACAGCCTATTTGTGTAAAACATTTCAGGGTATTCTACGAGCAAAATACAGTTCTTGGGGAATTCCTAGAGATAAATCACTTTTCATAAGCAGGAGGTTTTAAAGTGCATTCCTCTTTGCCTTTGGTTTAAGCAGTGACCCAGCCGGGCTGCTGGAGTCACAATGGTGGTTAAGGTCAACGCCACAAACATGAAGCATGGGGTAAAACAGATGAAAATAACTGGAACGAGGTGACAGCAGAGCACTCGGGCAGTGGAGACACTGTGGAAAGGTGTCAGACCTCAGGGCGAGTGCACCCAGAATTGCAGTGATCCTCTCTAAGGGAGCGAGGGGCATCCGTAACACTGGAGAAACACTCCGGCTCTTCATGCAACAACCAGCCATGATTTTAACGTGACTGTCACATAGCAGTGCTACATGCACCGGCTGGTGCAGCTTTGGTGTTGGACATAGCTACAGACCTGTAGCGTATAACAGACTGCGAATTCACAGTGAGTGAACTTTTAGAAAATACAAATAATAGAATTGGTACGTAGCAGGGATACTTATAACAGTGAGGGGTCAGCCTAGTTTTTATAGAAGAAGTTTTGCCTCACAAATCTTTGAGACTTCCCTGGAGGAGCCAATAATGGTTTGCAGTTCTCCATTTTAAAAAGGTCCTGCTCCAAAGGCTGTCAAAGTTACGGAGCTGTCATGGATTGAAAGAAGATTGTAACATATGATCTTAAGATGGGTAAATAACTGGTTGACAATGGGGGAAAGAGACAAAAAAAAGAGTGGGATGAAATGGTCAGCATTCATAGTAATGTATGATTATCCTCTCTGCTATTCAACATGCTTATCCAGAAGATGTGATTTGGAAAAGGCATTGATGGAAGAAGAAAGCAAGCAGGGAACAGAAATGAAGGATGTAAGGTTAAAAAAAAAAAAAGGAAGCAGCAGCAGCTTACTTCAGTGTAATTGGCAAAACCACCAATTCAGTTGTTGGTAAGTGCAAAGCAATGCATATAGGGAGAGGCAACCCCAACTGCCCAACCCCATATGTGCGTTTGGGCTATAAATTAATTAGGATTTATTACAAATAATTCTATAGAAACTACTACTCAGTGCTCAAGGAGGTTCAAAAAGGAAAGTACAACTTTAAAAACTATTCAGAAAGGCGTGGAAGATGAAACAGAAAGTGTAATTATTTTATAAATTTCTGCTATACTTGCATTTTGAGTACTGTATGCAGTGCTCATCCCCTCCTTTCAAAAAGAGATTAAAAAGAAAAAAAGATATAAAGAAGAGCAGCAAGGAAGATAAAAAGTAGAGCAGGTTTGCTTATGAGGAGAGTACAATCAGGACAGAATTCACTGCCCTGGAAAGGAAGAGCTGAGGTGGTACGTAAATCACCAGGGGCCTGGAGAAAGAGGGCAGAGACTTATTTGCCACTGTTTCTCACAGTGCAAAATCTGGGGGCAAGAGGAACTTTTTCAGAGGGGGTGTGTTCAGCTGTGAAACTCAGGCCCATGGGACACTGTGCACCAAAAGAACACATGGGATCAAACTCAACTAAATTAATGCCACAAGACAATCAGCGTTGTTTAACATTCATCAGAGTTCATGCAAAGAACAACTTTAATGCTGTGCTATGTCTTCTTTTTCCAATGAGTGAAGCGAGAGGACTGTACTCCAGCCTCCTACCTTCATCCCCCTGAATACCTATCACACTATGATAGGAGGACATTTATTCTCGGTACAGCTAGGCAAGAAAAAACTTTCCCATGCTGTCTGAAACAGGAGTTGTTGTCTTACCTGTGGTAGGCGGAAGGTCACATTGAGAACACCATAAGGAGCCCAACAATCTAGGAAAGCATTAGCTTCCTTAATTTGACAGGAGATAGTGGTATACAGTTACTTCTTTAAGGTGACAGCCCAACATTTTAGTACTAAGTGGGCATATGCTGCAATAATAAGAACATTTCTAACTAATTGCAATATCCAGAACATTTCTAACAAAGTGTCCATTATATTGTTTAGCTAAATCATACACTTGCTTTTATCTGGAATTGCAGCTGCTCGACAATGCAGTATGGCCTGTGCAATGGTTACACAAAGTCCTCCGTCCACCTATGAGAAGCGTCATTCCAGAAGATGCCTCTTTATCTCTTCTGCTATTTCCTATTCCAGCTCTGGGAAATATGTTGGATCTTCTTCATCCTTCCCCTCTGGTCAAGCAGCTTACATCTCACTGGATGTTCCTCTGATTTCTTGTGGAAGGCTGGGAAATAGTCTCCTGAGCTGTTAGTGGGCCTCCTGAGGTGACGCAGCTGAGGGTTGATGGCTGGCAGTGACAAAGGAAGAACAATGATGGTTACCATGCCTAGCATTCGCTTGCTGGTGGACAAGACATTAATTCCTCAGAAGCTGCATCCATCCCACTCGGCACAGCCCGTCTGCGCGAAGGACGGTTTCTCAGCCTGAGAGCCAGGACTCTTTTGGGTTAATGGGTAGTTACAGAGGGTTAGGAAAAGGTTCAGGAAAAAAAAAAGTGACAATATAAATCATAAATATAGATGTAAAACTCTAGAATGAAACACAGACCTCTCCAAAATTGAAATTTGGGCAATTAAGCACTTTGGAATACTTGATCTTGAAATCATGCCCTTATTCGGACATCCCAGAAGACTACACCAACACAGATGAATCCCAAGGAATGTTCTCAAGGTTAGGAAACAACAGTTTAGACAGAAGATGAAAGTGCCAAACGTCTAAATGAAGAAGCAACTTTATACTTACCTATCTACATGTAGATAGCTAAACACCTCACTGTTTTCAAAATATCATTGAACAATGTAATTTTAAGGCAATAAATCCAGACTGAGATCATGTTTCCCAGAATTCAGGAATAGGTGGATCTGAGCGGTTTTGTATGATTTTCCAGTAAACTACAGGCCATTGTGAAAGTTACAAGTGGGCTACATATGAATCTGACTATTTTCAACTTCTTGACTCTGTTTATTTGAATCTATGTCTTGCTTTCTTACATCTTTACATAGGTGTCCTGGTTTCGGCTGGGATAGAGTTAATTTTCTTCCTAGTAGCTGGTACAGTGCTGTGTTTTGGATTTAGGATGAGAATAATGTTGATAACACACCAATGTTTTCGTTGTTGCTGAGCAGTGCTTACACTAGTCAAGGACTTTTCAGCTTCTCATGCCCTGCCAGTGAGAAGCTGGGAGGGGGCACAGCCAGGACAGCTGACCCCAACTGGCCAAAGGGACATTCCATACCATGTGATGTCATGCTCAGTACATAAACTGGGGGGAGTTGGCCGGGGGGGCAGTGACCGCTGCTCAGGAACTGGCTGGGCATCGGTCAGCAGGTGGCGAGCAATTGCATTGTGCCTCACTTATTTTGTATATTGTTTTGTCATCATCATTATTATTACTATTTTCCCTTCCTTTTCTGTCCTATTAAACTGTCTTTATCTCAACCCACGAATTTTACTTTTTTTTTTCCAATTGTCTCCCCCATCCCACTGGGCCGGGGGAGTGAGCGAATGGCTGGGCGGTGTTTAGCTGCCTTCCGGGTTAAACCACAACAATAAATAGAATAAAAAAATTAAACATGACTATGACCAAAATGTATTCATCTTATGCTTAGTTATTATTTGCAAAATAATGAAGTAATAAGTCAATAATTAGCATGATAAGCACTTAAAAAAAAAAGTCATTGCTCTCAGCATGAATCCTAGGAAGCAAAAAAGATTCCCCTGTGTGAGCTAGCTAACATCAAATGCTAGAACAGTCACACTCTCATCTTGTTAAACTCCTTGAGTGATTAATTGTACTCTAAAATGTCTTGGGAAACAAAAAAAACTATGGATTTCATAAACTTTAGAAATACACATCCAGATTTCTGCATAGTCATAATCTTTCCTGTTCTCAACTAGACTAGACTGACATTCATTAAAAGCTTAAAAAATATCCAGGTGAGTAACTGTTCTTTAAGGCACATTCACTTTTCAGATTAATTCCATTTTCTGTACTCAGCACGGATTCAGCCAAATTGTTATTGGATTTTCCATTGCTCAGCATGGGGGAATGTTTATTGTTAACTGGAATTTTACTGGAGCTGTTGCCAGCAGAGATGACTTGGCTAATAGGCTTAAGGGGGTTTATCCAGAACACTGACAGTGCTGTTTGTCATCCTCATACAGGAGTTGATAAAGGGGTTCCATGACATTTAATTTCTTCAGGCTTTAGTGACTCAAAGTGATGGGGAGAAGACTCTCTCTCAGGACTCTAGAGTTCTGTTACCAGATTTCTCACTGATTTCTTGTGAGACTTGTCTTGACCAGGACTATAACATTCACCCCAGTTTCTCCATGTGTAAAATGGAAATAAAAATGAGAATACTTACCTCACAGGCTTTTTGTGGGCTTCAGTAGGTTATGATTCTCAGGAGTTTCATGCATAGAGTGATGTAAGTATTACAAGTTTCTAACCTTGATGCTGCTAAGGCATGGATTTCCTTTTTTTTTTTTTAATTTAGGGAAAATAAATAATTATTTTTTAAGATCATGGCTATCATCAAGGCAATGAAAGCAGAGAATAGGTATTTGGACAATGCCAGTGTAGACTAGAATAGTTACACAAGTAGCAACATGCAGAGAGACTCTGTGTCGTGCAGACACTGATTTAGCCAGGAGGCTAACAGTGCATTAGCCGCTCTGTTCGCTCTGGCCAGCAGGACGTGCAACCCAGCATCTTACAGAAGAGCAGCTGTGCAAACCTCAGGTTTGGCTAGGACAGCATCCACCCAGTATTTCCTCTTATCCTTTCTTTGATACAACTTTCTTTTGGTTCTTGAGAGAGGACGACTCCCTCTAGCTGCTTGGTATAAACACCTACCCTACGTCAACATTATGCCTTGGTTTTGCTTAAGATATAATGGTAATCACAGATGAAAGAATGAACGCCAGAGCTGCTGCTTAGTAGACAACTGCAAATGAAAAATGAGCGTAGACTGCCAGGAAGATGTCACCCAGCGCTAGTCTTCAGGTTCTGCTTGCAGCACCGCAGTTAAGGGCTGCCAACCTCATACCACCCTATACCCTTCCTGAGTTGCACACACCTTTAACTGATGTCTGTATTTTCAAAGAGTTCTGCTAAGCAGAAGGGAGCGTAAAGCTTGTAATCTGCTTCTAAGTTTTTGGTAAAACCCTGTAGGTTGGATCTGATGCACCTTAGGATATTGTGTCAAAGTGGGGCAGGATTTGGGGACATCTGCAAACACATTTACGGGAGACGAACTAACAAGTTTGAGAACAATGCAACTTGTACAACGCTTATATGAAGGAACAAGAATTGTTCATTTCCCCATCCCTCTTGCCCCCCCCATGCGTAACACAAAAGCAGCCTACTACACTCCACGCAACCCCTATTAGATTAATAGCTTGAGGTACTACACCAGAAGCTATTATTTAGTATTAGCAGTGATGGATGCTCCTATAAGCAGGCATAGCTAATGCATGAGAGACTGGTTTGGAAGTGGAGGCACATATACAGAAAGGCAGGTGAACAAACGTGCTGGCTTTGGCACAGTTTAAACCATTCATCCATGAGTCAAGAAACCACAGGAGTACCAAATACTGCCACAAGTTCTGCCCTTTAAACTGATCCTAAGATGTGCCATGCATCCACTGGGTGAGGTCAACAAGAGAGCCCATCAAAACCCAATTATTTTGTGGATGATCACTTGAACTAACAGTCCAGACAATGTCAAAAGCTTGAAACTCATGGATAATCTGAACAGGAGAAAAACATTTACTGAGGAGTCTGCCCTCAGTTAATTGAGCATGACGGACATTTCACGTGAGCTTGAAGCCAGGGGATGCATCACCACAGCACACAAGAGTTATTGTACACTATAGTCAAAATTTTAGCTGGTTCCACTGACTTCCCTAGAAATATACTGATTTGCAATAGTTTTTGCCCCGTTGCAATAAGAAGGAAATTATTGCTAATGTTGCTTACTGACAAAAATACTATATAGTCATCCTGAGTATTTCAAACTACTAAAAGTTGTTATAGCAACGCTCTTGTTATGCAGCACTTCCACTCTGATCAGAAAACAGAACAAGACAAGGCAAAACACTGATATCCTTTTCTTTTTCTTTTCAAGCATTTCAAAGCAGATAGATATAAACATTTCTATTCACTCAAAAGGCACGTCCCTTCAAAAAAGCCATTGAAATGTCATTTTCTTTAATGTCACCGCTACAGTCACTGAGTGAATAGCACTGTTTTTACTCATGAACACCTGTTGGGAAACAATTTGCCCTGATAAAAATTAGGAACACAGTCAGCTGAGCAGCCACATCTGCAAATGGGATTTGGGTGGTCAGCTGGCACTTAGTACCGGAGGGAGAGAAAAAGGTGGCGGGGAAAGCAAACAGGAAACTGGAAGGGGGAAAACCCATACAGGCTGCTCAGATTTCACATCTGCCCCTGAGCTGACGGCAGTCCCCTGCCGTGCTGCTGCTGCCGCCGCTGCTTCTGAAAAAGGACCCAGCCATGGCTGCCCACCACCTTCGCACAGAGGAAGGTCCAGCAGTGAAGCATGCCTGGTTCACGGGACAGCACTGGTGCTGGAGGAGGCCAGTTTTGCCTCAGCACTACAAGACAATGCAGGTGAGTGTGGTTGAGGATGAAGACGGAGACATTGCTGTTTCTCCCAGCCGTCCTTGCCTTGCAAGGGGATGGTGTGGCTTTCCAGAGGCACCAGGGTGAAAATAGTGTCTGGGACACAGCTTAGTCCAGGCAGAAGTACTTCTTACCCCTCTCCAGACACTCACACAAGCACTAAGCGCCCCTGGCACGCCATGGACAAGCAATTAATGTGTTCCCTCGCCAAACCAGCTGTGGTTAGTGGCCTGTGGGGACATCCTGAAGACAGACCTTCTGCCATCTCTCCTCCCACCTCAGCCCCCTGCAGGGCTGCTGCAACTTTTGCCTTCAACTACTATGCAGGCAAGATAAAGAGAATCCTAGGAGAAGGACAACAGGAAAGACGAAAGCCTTTTATGGTCAGTAAAGTTGATTTACTGATTTAGCTAAAAAATTCACCAGTGAGGTAAGGGAACTATTTCATTGGGCATTTTTACTGGGAGATGACACAGGAAAGCTAGGGATATGGGCGTTCCTAATTCAGTATTCTGCTGTTAAATCAAGGGAGCACATCCAGGAGGGTTTCTTCTTTCTCCCTTTTGCCACCTTTGCCAACAAAGGCGGTTTTCTGCTGTAATTATCAGGAAGATCTGCAGGACAAAGGAGCAGGA